GCTAATAACAATAACTTATTTTACTTAAAAACAAGATTTAAAAATACAAACCTTGATAACAATATTAAAAAATAATTTAAAATATCATCTGAAAATAATTTTTTTTTGTTTTCGTTTTATATTAATTATGAAAAAATTATCATTGCTAATAACAATAACTTATTTTACTTAAAAACAAGATTTAAAAATACAAACCTTGATAACAATATTAAAAAATAATTTAAAAATATCATTGATAACAATATTAATAACAAAAAATAATTTAAAATATCAAGATTGAAAATGAATTTTTTGTTTTTTTTATATTAATTATTCATCACTTTATAACAACATTCCAAAAATAATTTTTTTCTGAAAATGAATTTTTTTTTTTTTCGTTTTATATTAATTATGAAAAATATCATTGCTAATAACAATAACTTATTTTACTTAAAAACAAGATTTAAAAATACAAACCTTGATAACAATATTAAAAAATAATTTAAAATATCATCTGAAAATAAATTTTTTTTTTTGTTTTCGTTTTATATTAATTATGAAAAATTATCATTGTTAATAACAATAACTTATTTTACTTAAAAAACAAGATTTAAAAATACAAACCTTGATAACAATATTAAAAATAATTTAAAATATCATCTGAAAATGATTTTTTTTTGTTTTCGTTTTATATTAATTATGAAAAAATCATCATTGCTAATAACAATAACTTATTTTACCTAAAAACAAGATTTAAAAATACAAACCTTGATAACAATATTAAAAAATAATTTAAAATATCATCTGAAAATGAATTTTTTTTTTGTTTTCCTTTTATATTAATTATGAAAAATTATCATTGCTAATAACAATAACTTATTTTACTTAAAAACAAGATTTAAAAATACAAACCTTGATAACAATATTAAAAAATAATTTAAAATATCATCTAAAAATGATTTTTTTTGTTTTCCTTTGATATTAATTATGAAAAAATTATCATTGCTAATAACAATAACTTATTTTACTTAAAAACAAGATTTAAAAATACAAACCTTGATAACAATATTAAAAAATAATTTAAAATATCATCTGAAAATGAATTTTTTTTTTTTTTTTCGTTTTATATTAATTATGAAAAAAAATTATCATTGCTAATAACAATAACTTATTTTACTTAAAAACAAGATTTAAAAATACAAACCTTGATAACAATATTAAAAAATAATTTAAAATATCATCTGAAAATGAATTTTTTTTTTTGTTTTCCTTTTATATTAATTATGAAAAAATTATCATTGCTAATAACAATAACTTATTTTACTTAAAAACAAGATTTAAAAATACAAACCTTGATAACAATATCAAATAATATTTTAAAATATCATCTGAAAATGATTTTTTTTTTGGTTTTCGTTTTATATTAATTATGAAAAATCATCATTGCTAATAACAATAACTTATTTTACCTAAAAACAAGATTTAAAAATACAAATCTTGATAAGAATATTAAAAAATAATTTAAAAGATCGTCTGAAAATGAATTTTTTTTTCCTTTTCGTTTCATATTGATTATGAAAAAAGTATCATTGCTAATAACAATAACTTATTTTACTTAAAAACAAGATTTAAAAATACAAACCTTGATAACAATATTAAAAAATAATTTAAAATATCATCTGAAAATGATTTTTTTTGTTTTCCTTTTATTTTTTTTTTTTTTTTTTTTTCGTTTTATATTAATTATGAAAAAATTATCATTGCTAATAACAATAACTTATTTTACTTAAAAACAAGATTTAAAAATACAAACCTTGATAACAATATAAAAAAATAATTTAAAATATCATTTGAAAATGAATTTTTTTTGTTTTCGTTTTATATTAATTATGAAAAAAATTATCGTTGCTAATATCAATAACTTATTTTACTTAAAAACAAGATTTAAAGATACAAACCTTGATAACAATATTAAAAAATAATTTCAAATATCATCTGAAAATGAATTTTTTTTTGTTTTCCTTTTATATTAATTATGAAAAAATTATCATTGCTAATAACAATAACTTATTTTACTTAAAAACAACATTTAAAAATACAAACCTTGATAACAATATTAAAAAATAATTTAAAATATCATTTGAAAATGAAATTTTTTTTTGTTTTCGTTTTATATTAATTATGAAAAAAATTATCGTTGCTAATATCAATAACTTATTTTACTTAAAAACATGATTTAAAAATACAAATCTTGATAACAACATTAAAAAATAATTTAAAATATCATTTGAAAATGAATTTTTCTTTTTTTACACACATTCAATATGCCAAGAGAATACATCAAAGTTCGAAAATGCTAAGCATGAATGAAGAAAGGAGTATTCTTCCAAATAAAATAAGAAGTACTATGCAACTCAATAGGCAATGGAAAATGCCAAAAGTGATAGATACGAAACTTCAAAAAGAAGGAATTGATGAACCACAACGACTACTTATAGCCATTGGAAATACAAATGTTTAAAATCCAAACCAAAAACATGAAAAGATGCAAACCTATACTACAAATCCCTTCAAGCAAAAGCTAAATTCTCCAGAAAATTCCTGAAGAGTAACGTTATTCATGAATCATTTCAAGAGTTAAGGGGCCCAAAGTACCCCCCTCCTCCTGCCACTTCATTGCAGCAGCGCTTGCTTCTCTTTTAATATTTTCTTCACTAGTTTGTAATCTTGAATTAATTATGGGGGATTATCCATAACGAGTTCCGCCCCAAATTCCTGTTCGGGCGTCAAATTGCGATAAATAGTTCTGATGAATATATATGATAGGAGCTGGTTTTTCAAAGCAAACCTACTGTCCAATGCTGGTTTGAGAGAGAGACTGACTACAGATTGGGGAGTGTTATGGCAAAATTGCTCATTTTGCTCAGAATGCCATATCTACTTTTGTCCTATCCCCAAAAGAACACCTAACTAAATATATTATATTAAGTACTTTTTTATTTAATTACATTAATTACTTCTGATTTACTTAATTACATTAACTATTTATTTTATTAATTATGTAATTGGATGTAAGGCGACTCAATTGCCCCGACACTCTCTACAAATTTTACAAATTTTACTTTTAACAGGATAACAATTTTTGCTGTACTAAAATTACGATGTTTCAATCAGAGCCACACATAGCGCTCAGTAAATACCGAAAACACTGAATGCGCCAAGTCACACTGCATCGATTCTTCGTGACGTTTTCGCCAACATTGAGTCCCATACCTTTTCACAACCACCGTATTCACATTCTGCGACTTCTGGCCATTTTCGAAAATCAAAAGGCTACTAAGGGAACACCTTCATATTTGTAAATTAGTTAGGAATTGATATTTCAATTAAACGTCACTGCAAAATATTAAAACGTTAAACGTTAATGCTGATATGAAAGGTTAAGATATTGAAATAATACTAAAATTTTAATTCGAATTTTTGAAACTAGGACTAAAAAATAAGGGGTCATTGTAAAACAAGAAAGAGAAGAGGGGATAGATATATATAGCACTGGATCTATAAACTCAATCTAATGAGTTCGATGTAACTAAATGGATCGGAACTAGAAATATGGAATAAAAGCGAAATTTCAAATCAGGGATTTTGTGGTTCGTAGGATATATATGTTTTTATTTAACGTGCCTTCCGGGACAGTGCCTCCGAGGGGGATTTTTAGGAGGCAGCTGTCTCATATTTTCATTTAGTATGGGAGAAAACCTGGAATATTTTTATACATATATACAAGGAAAAGAAAGTGTACCAGACAAAATTACTACGTTCAAAAAATGCTGATTAATTACTAAATATTTAGTAAACCAGATGGGTGTTTTGTGTTTATGTATTATTACTTGCTTCAGATTTGTTATGAATTTTATTAAAGTTTTCTTTGATAACTATTCTTTATTTGCTTTTGTAAATTTTCGCTTAAATTTAGTCAGACTACATTTGCAGTCTGATATCAACCAAAATAAAACGTTATAAATAATTACAGGGAAAAAAAATTACTCCATTGTAAAAACTCGGAAAATTCAATGAAAGGAATTAAGTTGCAGGAAGATAAAATTAAGTATAAAAATAAAGACTCCTATAAGAAAGAAAGAATACTAAAAGATAAGTTTTCTAAAATTATAAAAAAAAAAAAAATTCAGTGTCTTAGAAGTCTTTTGTATATTGAAAAAAAAATCAAATTTATCACATACTATTTTATTACAATTTGCATATTAAGTGTTTAAAAAATTTAGCTGCCAGTTTGAAACAAAATTGAGACTTTTTAAACCTCCTTCTTCATTTAAACAACTGTTGTGATTCTTGTATTTAAAGAATAGTTATGAATCCCTTTTCTGAATTTGTACTGTGCTATGATCACAAGGTTATCACGCAAGCACATATATGCACATACTGCTTGTGTGAATTCATTGAAATGTGAAAATCCTATTGAAATGAAAGGAGAAAACTACATTTATAAATACAGCACTAAATCTCTTGGAATTCAACAATTTAAAATTATAAGGGTCTAAGCGTAAATTAAAACAAGCAATATAAAAACAAATTTTTTTAAAGTCAATTCTTACTTCTTTTTCACAATATTGCAGAAAGTCCTTTATAAATAATTTTCGTTCCTTTTTTTTATGTTTATTTGGCGCCCTCTGTGGGTAGATACATGCAAGTTAAATCTAAAAAAAGCTAAAATAAATTGATTAAATTCAATTACTGAATGAATATTTGAATAAACTGTATTCACATCCTGTGTCATCAACTACAAATTAAAAAAAAATGTATTTGAACTCGAGTGGATGAATACAAAGTATTTCATGAACGATTGAAAATGTGAACAAGATATATATAGGGAGAGTGTGAGCTAATGGAAGGAACTGAAATGAAAAAAGAGAGACGCATGCATGAAAAAGACTTTCGTAGAAAGCAAATTCTAAGAAAGCATTTGTACTGCAACTATAGTCTTCTTCACTTTACGACCTGCATCCGAAGTCAAGCATCATTGGGCGCGGTCAGTACTTGGGTGGGTGACCACCTGGGAACACCGCGTGCCGTTGGCAATTTTGGGACTTGAATGGTGGCCGAGTGTCTAGCGCTCTGATACTCGGTGCCACAGGTTTCGGGTTCGAATCCCGGCGGTGCCATGGATGTTTGTAGGGGTTCGGAATCCACTTTAAGCTGTAGGTCCCAGTCTCCTATGACTGTAAGAGCGTCACGGAGCAAAAGTCAGGCTTCTACCTACGGGTGCTCCATCACAACAGAAGCTGGAGTCCATATGGGCTCGTGGGCTTGGCCAGCCAAGTGGGATAAGAAACAACAAAACAACACGACCTGCCTTCTGGTAGTAGAGGGAAAAGTCGCGTTCGTTTGAAGACGGAGCTCAACAGGTGGGAGGGAGAGAGATCAACAGTGCACAAACTGTTGCATCCACAGCCGATCGATGAAATTGCGCCAAGCGCTGGCGTTGTGTTAGATTTGGTTTGCGGCGTTGAATCTCATTTGTTTCGCGAACAAAAAAATAATTGCGTTCGCTACAGCATTTTTTAAACATCGCTTTTAATATACCATAAACAAATTGAATAGTTATTATTAATGAAATTTCTTACTTCACTGTTTTTTACATCATATGTTTTGTTGCTATTGAAGGCTCCTTATGCATTTAAAGAAAAAATAAATTAAAATTAAAACATAATTTAGTGTTGACTGGTAAATAGTTGGATGAATATTAAAGAAATATATATTTTGGCTAGCTTATAGCTTGTAGTATGTTATAGGCTGAAAAAATATTTGAATAATCATGTCAAGAAATTATAATGCTTGCTTGCTTAAAAGCATTTTTGAATGAAACGATGATTTACTTATATGTGTCTCGAGTTCCAAAGAAGCGTTGAACATAAAAAGTATCATATTTATTTATATCTAATTTAATTTTTAACAACTCCATTTATTAGAAGCAGTTTTATAACTCGATGATTATTCTCTCCTTTATTTCTACTTACGGAACATGATAAGTAAACATTGGGCATAAGAGAAAAATAACCACTGTTGTTTACTATTGCAAATGCCTACTTGTTTACTATAGTGAATACTTGCAAATACGTAATTTTCGATCATAGTTTCTTTTGGTTATCAAAGAATATCTTTTGTGTGTAGGAAAGTTATAAATAAAGCATGTATAAAATGCTCGTCTTATTTACTATTTTTTTTACATTTGAAAGGCCTTTATTCAAAACTCAACAATTGATTTGTGAAAATTTGAAAAAAGAGTTAGAATGAATAACGACAGCAGTATTGAGGGTTTTTATTTATGGTTATTCTCATTTTTATTATTGTTTGAACATTTAAAAAAGTTATCGGAAGATGAAGATACTTTCTTCTCAACTAATACTCACAAAAAGAAATGAAAGGGAAACGAATAAATAAACAAAAGGACTTGTAAATATTTTCAAATGAAAAAAAAATTTTAAAGTAAAACAAGAAAGTGTAGATTGTGAATGCTTCTCCTAAAATTATGAAAGTGCAGATTGTTTCAATATATCGGCAAAACTAAGAATGCAGCATTTGAAAGTTACGTTTTTACAAATCAATTTCGAAAACAGCCAGACAACGATAAATCATATTCAATTGTTTAATTATACTGTTCCAAAACAAATGTTATAGAAAACTCAGAAAATTTATGAAAACAAAATATATAAAAAAGGCTTGTAATTTTCATTCTTAGACTGAAAAATCGACTGTGTTTAGTAACTATATTAGTAACTGTGTTTTAAACTATTCAAAATACATTAATAAATAATTTGTGAACGATTAAAAATATTATTGATTTTTAAATTCCAAAAAAATTGAAGGATTTCCGTCAAGAATATATTTTTTGTTTTTATCAGGTTTACGACAGTCCATTGTTTTACAGTAACATAAATATAATTGTTGACCCTCTTACGGGTTAAATTTTAAAATTTCAATGGAGTTTTTTTTTAATTTGTCTCTAAGTAAAATGAACTTACTATTAATTAAAAAAACATTCACATGTATCTTTATATTTTGAGATAGTAAATACAAGACATCTTGATTATTAGAAGAAAAATAGTTTCAACTGTACATAAAAACATTCCATCAACACACAGAAAAAATTGTAATACCTTAATCCACTATGTAAGATAATTAAATTAGTAAAATGCCTGTTTTTTATAAAAGCATAATAATAAAGAAATGTCACCAAATAAGTGTACATAAGAAACCTACAGAAATAGTTGAATTTTATTTTTAAATCAAAATATTTTTATACAAAGAATATAAATATAGGAATAGTACCTTGAACGTTTCGAAAAAAATTATATCAGGAATAAGTTTCTAAATTAATGAAAGGATTAAAAAAAGAGTCTGTGTTATAAAATAAATATTTAATAAGGATTTTGAAAATAGAGCATTCCAATTTTGAGTGATGTATCCAAATTTAAAAGTTAAGGAGCAATTAAAATAAAAAATTGCTTTAACATTAATGCAGTTACATTCACTTATAATTTGCAATCCTCATTTCAATACCACCGCCTCTTTCGTATAAAAGCAAATTACAACGACTACAGTAATGTAAAATCCCTCTCAATGCAAGTAAAGTGATTAGTTTCATGCACGCAGGAGTTTACTACTGCTCCTAAAAAGTAAGACCAATTATTATTTTTTTTTTTAAACTCTTTATTTATTTTTCCAAATTTATTTCATCACCTTCAAAATAATTCCCGGACACAATGCACTTATGCCAACTTTTCTTCCAATCCTCAATGCATGCTAAAAAGTCATTTGCAGGGATGGCCTTCAAAGAGCGCGGCGATTCACATTGAATCTCTTCAATCGACACAAAAACGGTGTCCTCGGAGTGGTCTTTTGAGTTTAGGGAATTGTCGTGCCAATATCAGCAATATCTTTTAGTAAATATTTTTATGGTAAAATTCTATATAATTATTGTATATGTTAGACTATATTCTATGTGCGTCCCATGGGGTGTTTGTTGGTCTCTGCACCTGACCTGTTGGGAATTCGGTATGTCCAACGGAATGACCCGTTTCCGGTGAGTGTAGCCACAGCTGCGAGTGAAAGGGATATCTCTGGAAAGTAATTTAATTCGCAGGGCCCATACAAAACTTCGGGCCAAATGGTCAATAACAACCATTTACCATGCGGGCTCTCTCGTTATCTCTCCTTGGAGATTTATGGACAGGGGAGGGGGTGAATTCACCGAACGGGTATAGACCCTAATATGGTGTCGGCCCCATAATCCGTAATGAAGTGCTGGAGGGCCCAGATGAAAACAAATAGCCTGACGCGGTCTCCGAGAGTCAGAGCTCAAGGCAAGAGATTTCATGTCTGACTCAAGCGCCCCATGAGCTGTTGGCCCCGTGCAGCCACGAAACTTTGAACAGTGGTGGTAGACTTTATTCGTCATGATGCTTTGGCGCCCGACTCTCGATTTCAACGATATTATTGAGTTAGCTACAGCTATGCTTATTTACAAATTAATAGTCTTTATTAGCATGTGTGAACATGATGTCCTGGTTCGGGGTCCGTGACGTGATCCGAAAATGAGGGTCAAGTAAATAAATCTCCATTCCAAATTTTGGCGGAAAATGGTACTTTGGGTCCTTAGCTCTTGAAATACTTCATGGATAACGTTTGTCTTAAGGAATTTTCTGGAGAGTTTGGCTGTTGTTTGAAGTGTTTTGTAGTATTGTGTTGAATCACTTTTCATGTTTTGGGTTGGGATTTTAAACCTTTGTATTTCCAATGGCTAGAAGTACACGTAGTGCGTTGATCCATTCCTTCTTTTTGAAATTTCATATTTATCACTTTTTGCATTTTCCGGTGCCTATTGTATAGTGCTTCTTATTGTATTTTGAAAAATTCCTTCTTCATTTATGCCTAGAATTTTTAAACTTTGGTATATTCTTTTGCATATTGTATGTGATAACTTTTCTTGTAGAATTTGGAATACTTGACTCTTCATTTACGGTGATATATATCTTACTTTTGTATATTTTTTTTAAAGATTCTTGAACAATTCTTTCTTCATGAAGTTCTTGATTGCAATATTCATATGGTTATTTGAATTTGGCCGTTCTTCTAGTATTCTAATCATTTGCTTCTTATATCTCTTGCATTATTAAACATTGGCATATTCCTGAGTTTATTTGTCCGTTATCGAATGTTCACACATGATTTATTATTTAGTTATAATTGATTCTATAATCACCTACTAACTTACCACAGTGAATACAAAAATGCAATACAATTATATAAAAAGTCATTATCAGTCGTTTTTTTTAAATAAATTTTCCGTCACTGAATAAACAATACGTTATTATAACAAAAAAAAAAAAAAAAAAAACAATCATAGAGTTAGTTTCATTTAAAGTGTTCATAATTCTTTTAACAATTGAGTTTTAACTTTTAAAAAGTTTATTGCTGACATAAAAAAAACTGATATAATTAAAAGTCTTTCCTTTTGGTAACAATATTATCTATCTTAATTTTTTATCTATCTTAATTTTTCATTTTAGCTTTTAAGATTTAATATTACAATAATTTATTCTAATCATTACATCCATCAAGTAACTTGTGGATTAATGATAAGATAAAAATTATTAAAAATAAATGAAGTAATTAAAATAAATTAATTTAATTATTATTAATTTATTTATTTATTATACATAATTTAATTAATTTTTGTAATTAATTTAATTAAAATTAAATTAATTAAATTAAATTAAGTAGCTTTTAAAAAAGCTACTTAATTTATTTTTTGTTGCGATGTATTGTACATATTTTTTGAAAAACTTAATATAAACTTACTATTGAAGAAATGCAGTATAATGTTTTAAAAACACGTATGTCCTATTTATTATGAAATAATCCTAATTGGTTTATGACAGTTACTTTTTCGTTTAATTTGCTTTGAGCCTCATTTTGAAATAATTTAAAATATTAGTTAATGAAATAATAATTAAAATAATTAATAATTAAATAATTTATATCGGTATTAAAAAAAAGGGGGTTATTCGATCT